CATCATTTTGTACTTGCATTACAATATCAATATTTGGAAATGGAAGATTTTCTAGAACTTTGGAAGAATCTTAAATCCAGATTTGATCATCAAAAGACCATTTTCCTTCCACGTTCACGTCATAATTGGAAACATTTACGTGTCTTGGATTTTTCAAATTTAAATGCATTCAATAGGGAAATGTATAGTATTGTCTCACAATTACGATTATGTTGATAAAGCATCTCTGAAGAAGAAATGATTGAAAAAACCCTCTCTATATTTCTTCTTGTATCTGCTCTACTTGCACAATAATACATGAACATGAAATTTCAGTGACATTCTGATCTCATATCCTATCTACTTCTTATAGAGAAGCAAAATGACATATTCCAATACAATGCGGAAGCTCATCCTATTGGAACGACAGTTCCAGAATCTCATGCACTTAATATTTCAAAGTCTAAGAAAAAATTATATAAACATGAGAAACGTTTATCTATGACTACCTTCATAAATATCAAGGTAGTCATAGTTATGACCGTTTCTATCTATATAGAAAGAATAAATATTTTACTATTAATTATAGTAGAAAACAAAAATGAGAGATGTATTCTTACTATAAATATAAAATGATTGGATATTTACCACATGCATGGTGTACTTTAAAATATTTTATTAAAATATTCCAAAAAAATAAGAAACTACGAGCTGAGACTCATGAAGTTCATACTATGGATGCATCGATGGATTCAATTGGTGCTGATGACTTATAGGCTTATATGAATGACAAAACCTCTAATGATGAATCAAATGATATGCTCATTGATTTTGCAAAAAGACATACTATCTTGCGGGATAGATGATTTTTTATTGAAAAATCTTTAACTTAGAAAACTAAAAATATGATGACTATGGCTGGAGCAAATCTGTTTTGTTTCCAAGAGGACACTATGATGGTAAAATTACCTGCGGATTTCATCATAAAATATAAACATGTGATGTTTCTACCTTCAACACCTCGGAGTTTGATCAACTACCGAGATGTGCGTATTAATAGTTATCACCTCTTCACCGCCATTTTAAATTGAAAAGAGGTTTTGGTTCTTATGAAGAATCATAAAGTTGTTGAAAAAGCTTTTGCTACAGAAAATAGTTTATACCGAATTGCGATTCGGCCTCCCATTATATTTAATTTTTTATCATCTATCACAGAGAGTCGTGCTTCTCTCTGGCATGGATGATTGAGACATCCACACTCTACATTATTTAGAAAGATCATTCTATGTATAACTGAGTATAATTTAAAGCCTGCGGATGTAGACTCTATGGAATTATGTTGGGCATGTGTGCAAGGTAAGATAATTACTCGGCCTTCAATTTGAAAACTCCCACAAGAATTACCACCAGTGCTTGAAAGATTGCATGGTGATATTTGTAGTCCTATTAATCCAATATCGGGACCATTTCATTATTTTTTGGTCCTTGTTGATGCATCATGTAAACAATCACATGTTTCATTATTATCAACTTGAAACATGGTGTTTGCCAATCTTATATCTATGATTATTTGTTTTTAGGCACATTTTCTTGATTATCCTATAAAAAAATTACGTATGGATAATATAAAAAAATTTGCATCAAAGTCTTTTGAAGACTATTGTATTGCAATAGGAATTGAATTGACATATTGTGCTCTATATGAATATGCTCAAAATGGACTTACAGAGTCATTTATAAAGCGTATACAACTTATTACCCAGCCACTCTTCCTTCACGTAAATTTCTTTCATCTATATGAGATCATGTAGTCTTATATGCTATAATATTAATATGCCTCCACCATTCTTCTCTTGAAATTGTTTCACCACATGAGCTTATTTCGGGTCGTATTCCAAATATATTTCACTTACAAGTATTTGGTTGCCGTGCTTGGATTCTAGTACCAGAACCTCAATGGTGTACCATTCAATCTCATCAACAAGAAGACATATATGTTGGTTTTGATTCACCAAACATTATTTGTATTATTGATCTATCAACTGATACATTATTATATGCATGTTTGTAAAATTGCCATTTTGAAGAAAATATATTTCCATCTCTTCAAGGAGGAATATCCAATCAAAAAAGAAATAAAGTACTTTTATTTGAAGCATCGGAAATGATTACAATGAATCTTGATCCTAGAACATCTTTAGTAGAAATTGAAGTCGCTAAGATTTTGCATCTAAAATGGATCGCAGATGAAACACTTGATAGCTTCAATGATGTACCTAGAATTACAAGAGTTCTTATTAATGAGGCTCAGAATGCACCTACTTAGATTGCAGTGCCATTGACTACAATACCTCAAGTTATAACAACAATAACTAAAAGAACTTGTGGATCAGATAAGTAACCACGTAAAAAAAAAGCTATAATATTGACTAATCTTGGTATTATTTCTCAAGAAATTATCGCTCATCTTGCAAGACCACGAATTCATGATGATATATCCATACATAATGTACCTTCAATTCATGTGAAAAAGAATCTTGGAATTAGAAGAAATAAGAAAAAATTGAGTAAAAAAATATCTATTTTGTATTGTGCTATAGATGATATTTGGAATAGACCATCTATTACAGTAGATGAATCATTTGCATGTATGATTATAGAAGCCCTTTCTTGCAAGGAAGACGATCTTAAACCTCAAACCATTAATGAGGCGATGCATTGCTTAGATTGGTCAAAATAAAAAACTGCTATTCAAGAAGAGTATGTCTCTTTACGTAAGAAGAAAGTCTTTGGTCCAATTCTAGACACTCTTATATCTTGCCTAGTGGGATTTAAGATGGTATTAATATGCAAGAAAAATGCTCAAGGCCAAATAACCCACTATAAAGCTTGTCTTATTGCTTAAGGATTTACTCAACGATTTGGCATTATTTATAAATCCACATATTCTCCAATCATGGATTCAATTACATTTCGATATATTATTGGAATAGCAGTTCATGTCACCCTTGAGATGCATTTGATGGATGTAGTAATTGCAAATCTTTATGGTTTTCTTGATGCAAATATTTATATGAAAGTTCTACCTAGTTTAGAAATAGGAACTCCAAATGGACCTGCTCCAAGTCAATATTGTGGTATTAAATTATATAAGGCCTTATATGGTTTAAAACAATTAGGATGCATGTGGTATCAACGTCTTCGAGATTATTTAATTACACATAAGTTTGTAAGTGATCCACTAATCTCTTGTTTGTTTATTAAATGAGATAAAACTCGTTTTGTGATCATTGTTGTATATGTTGATGATCTTAATCTAGTGGGTACTACATCTGCATATATTGTAGCTACTAACCTACTTATATATAAATTTGAGATGAAAATGCTAGAAAAAATAACTTTCTGCATTAGTCTTCAGATTATGCATCTCATGGATGGTAGCATTTTTCTCTATCATCTAATATATATTAGACGAATCTTGCGAAGATTCAATATGATTGATACTTATCCATTGTCCATACTAATGGTTGGACGTGGTCGTGATGGTCGTGATCCATACCGTCCATGTGAGAAGGAGGAGGAAATATTGGAAGATCAATATCCATACCTTACAGCGGTTGGAACACTTGTATATTTGGCTACATCTACAAGACCAAATATTGCATTTGTAGTTAGTGTTCTTACAAGACATAGTGCACGTCCAACACTATGACATTAGAATGACATCAAATATTTATTATGTTATTTAAAAGGTATTGAAGACTTGGGATTATACTACATACAATCTACATATCCAAAATTGGTTGGATATTGTGATGGGGGATATAAATCTGATACTATAATAGCTAAATCTCAAACAAGTTATGTATTTTTAAGATAGAAACTCCAATATTAATGAAATCAGTGAAACAAACAATAACTGCAAGTTCATCCAACCATGTAGAAATTATTGCCTTACATGAAGCATCTCGAGAATGTATTTGGTTGCGATCAATTGATAAATTCATTCAAACAACTTGTGGATTTTCATATGATGATTCTCCATTTATATTACATGAAGACAATAGTGCTTATATTGCACAAATGCAAGTTGGTTTCATTAAAGGTAATAGGACAAAGCATATTGATCTAAAGTATTTTAGTTATATTCATGACTTGATTACTGATCAAGCACTTATAATTAAGAAAATTGAATTTGCAAATAACCTTGCCGATCTCTTCACCAAAGCTCTCCTATTGTGCAACCATCATTGATTCACTTTTGACATTGGTATACAACGACTTGCTTTTCTTAAATAAAAAAATTAATGAACTCTTTAAATAATTAAAGAAAATAATGTTGTACTCTTTTTCCTTCATCTATGGTTTTGCCTTTAAATACAATAAGGTTTTCTTAGATAAGGTTTTAATGAAGCAATAATTGTTGATCTTACAAGATTACAAAAAAATATAGATCATAATTCTATACAAATTTTATATTATGTAAATATTATGATGAGCGAGGAAGAGTGTTGAGAGTATTAAATGTAACTGGCACTCTCCATAATATTTACTATAGTCTATAGTAAATACTATAGCTATAGTATTTGGAATGTAGTGGAGAGGAACTGTTTATCCTCTTCCCTTCTCCTCTTGTATACATGACACAACTAGATCAATAGATTTTTTGGGTGAAGCTCTATCTCTCTCCTTAGAAACTCTCTTGTGTGTGAGTGTATTACTTACTACTACTCTTGTGTCTTTCTAAACATTCTCAACAAAAAGTAAAACAATCTCACTGCTCGAAAGTAGAAAGTAAAATATTTGGAGCTCATTCTGCACAGAATTGTACATGCTTTGTACATCTACACCTATCATGGATCAGTTAAACTTCGAAATTCTTAGATATAGCTTCGATATCTGCCCTGCAGTGAAATCCACAGAAATTTCAACGCTGCACTGATTCGTGAATTGTCACTCCACGGATCCGGTGACGGTGTGCTCTATTACCGTGCATGGCCTTGATGAACGTGGACGGACGGACGGACGGACGACGACGAATGATGACGAGTTATGTGGACGGATGGGCCCCGATTCGTTTCGGAAGTTCCTTTGTATCCCCCGCCTCAAGCAAGTGTGTGCAGTTTGTTCGTGGTGTTGCGGAAGGCAACGATGGCAGGCTACGTTCAATCAGGTTTGTCAGATCCTGTTTTTTTATTTTTGTGAATCTGGTTCGATATAGTTCTAAATTCGGGTTGTGAACGGCCTTTTGTACGCGATGAAACTGGTTTGGGAGGTCGCTTGCAATATTTCCAGTAACTTTTGGGGTTTCACTTTGCAGGGGAAGTTCGTGCCAGAAGATCACCATGGAGATTGAGTATCATTCCTGAAATGTTTTCTGCTCTCATCGCTCTCATAATATCTTTTTTCAGCACCATGTTCTCGGTTAGGGTTTTTTCTCACCACTGAAGCTTAGAATTGAACATTTGTCGGTAATTGAGTGATTAATGATTTGTTGGGAATTGAACGTTGTTGATGTACAATTGGTGGTCTGTTTTAGTAGTGATTGTGCAGACGATGGAGATATGTGCACAAATGTGTTCTGTTCATTTTTATCTTCAGTATGTACGTGTCTCGCATTTTAACGCAATTCGTGCATTTGTACGAGACCACAGTTGGACGCGCACCGATCCTACGGTAAAAGACCGGCTAGCGGGGGAAATTCCTTCGGCGGTGGTTCTGGACCGGGAGGCCCTGGAGGATCTGGTGGAGGTGGAGGATATGGTCCACGAAGACCCCGTGGCTTGGATTCCGTTCGCGGTGTTGATCACAGTATGCTTCGAAGCCCTAAATTTTCTGGTGACTAAGTCTTGATTGAACCACTGCGAGTGTATGAGGACACTGCAGTTTCTATAGTCGTCATAGATGCGTGGAGAGTTTACATGCTGGACTTCAGGATTGCTAGGTTGCAGTCGCAACTGACTGAACTATTTTCTGAGGGTGTTGCGTTTGCGAGTATACATTTGTGAGTGCAGATTGCCCTTAACTTTTTCTTTGTTGGTTCTTGCAGGTGCGCCTAGTCCTTGCGGGTCTTGCTGTGCAGGATAATTTTTCAAACACACACACACAAAGAAGAAACATCCGTGATAATTAAAAGCCCTAAGAAAACAGACTATCTGTTGTTCTGATACCCAGTTTCTTTAGCCTGTTAATTACAATCAGTTAGTATATTTTGGTAGGGTTTTATATCATTAGATTTGAAGCCCTCGGATGCGTTGCTGCAGGATTCGTCTTGGCGGACCCTGCTGGTTTATACGTATTTCCCTTGATTATGCATCTGTAACTACATATAGTTTTGTGCATGCTACGCCCATTTTGCTTCGGCATAAGAACATTCATGCTTTTCTCCCCTCCAGCAATGGCAATGAATGTCTCTGCATTAAGTTGAACACCCGTAGTATTGTGAACTCTGGTTCTGTAGATGTTCTCGTCTGGATTACGAGGCCGAGTTGAAAATCATTTTCTCAGTATGTTGCGTGAGGAACAGTTCACTCCTGTTAACATCATTCCCTGGAAGCCTCTGATCCAGCTGCATACGCTGGAATGCCAGCTCTTGTGATTCGACAATATCATACACAAGGCTCTTGACTTGATCAAGGTAGTACGGTACTCCTCCACAGCGCCGTCTTTAGAATGCTACCACAAGTCGAATTTTTCTCTAATCATGGTCTCCGATTCAAGAATCCTTGCGACGCCTCCTTCCTTGAGCTAGTGCTTGGAAGACATCTTTGTCCATTCGGAGGTAACTTTGTGTGCGGTAAGCCAGAAAGTGATATCGCAAGCTCGATTGTATCAATCTTCGCGCTTGGAGAATATGGGCTTGAACGAGACGCCTCAGACAAAGTTTACTAATTTGCGAGCGTGGAGTTGATTCCAATGGGCAAGGTTCGGAGGAGTGCATTCGTTACACCTAGAATCTTTTCAATGAGTGGCAACCTACATGGGCAGTGGCATATTTCAAGCCACCTAACATCGATTTACCTCGCTGCAGGATCTTGCACACCGGTAAGAAGAGGAGCACATAATGAAATAATGAGGCTCGGCGTGGGATCTAAATGGGATTTGAACCAGAATCTTACCGGGAGTCTAGATGCGGCAGGGTCGTTGCCTACTCATCCTTCTCCTCTTCGTTATCGTTATTGTCATCCAATTCGTGGTGTCAGGAGACGCGGCCCCTCGATGTGCATTACTCCCTCATCTGGGTTAGCCACCTCTTGATAACAACGAGAGCAGCAGCTGAAGTGCAGTGAGCTATCGCGGGGAAGAGGAGCAGTGGAGAGTCATGGCAACGATGGCGACCGCAAACCCTTCACAATTTAGGGTCGATTCGATCCGGAGCTCCACGTTCTTCAATGCTGGGCGGTGCCAGCTCTCCGCCCGTTGCACTGCTGCCGCGTCTCTCCGCAGGCCCGTGGTTCGGCCCCTTCGCGTCAATGCAACCCAAGTACTCTAATTCTCTTTAAACTCTGAGGGCTTCTTATCAAATTGTATTAGCGGGTTCTAGATTGCTTTCCCAAGCCTAACCTTAGTGTCTTACAGTTGCGGCTGACAAGTCTCTGTCACATTTCGGCGCCATTGAGGTGAGCTCAGGTGTGGTTGGATAGCTAATTCTCTCTATATGCATTGTGTTCCTAGAATCAAAGAATCGGGCAGTCAAGTAAGTGTGAAATCCCTAAGTCCTTTAGGATAAGGTTTTGTTTGCACGTGCTACTGAGCCACAGAATATGTGAGAGTGCTCTCTTACGGTGAAGATGATAATGCTGCAGGAAAGGAGCTATGTGATGGTCAAGCCAGACGGTGTACAACGCGGCCATGTAATACACTCTCTGCTTGTTTTCTTCTTGTTATTTCCAAAGCTTCGAAAAGATTTCAGTGGGTATGGACATTCGCACAATGGGTAATAGTGGGGTGAAAGGATAAGCAATTTCCTGAACATTCATTTTGTGGGTTGGATTAATAGCTCTTTCTCTGTGACGAATGATGATTAAGGAAAGAGTGCCTTAACGACAAGCTGTGCATTGAATTTGTACAAAGATTAGTGTACCACACTAGGGGTGACTTACAAGTGGTTGAATACCGAAGTTCTCAATTTCAAGTTCGCAAGAATGGATTCAATGTGATAGGAATCCACTGAATTTTCTCTTGTACTGTTTCTGGCAGGTTGGCGAAATTATCTCGAGGTTTGAACGGAAGGGCTTTCAACTCATTGGACTCAAGCTCTTCAAAACCCCGAAAGAACTTGCAGAGGTGAGCATTTCATTCCGGCACAATTACTGGTCACGTGAATTTAATGGTGATGAAGACGGAAAGTCGATTACAATGATATAATGTGAAGAAAGAATCGTATCTCAATTCTCTTGGTGGTTTGCAGGAGCACTACGGAGAATTGAAGGAGAAGCCATTCTATGGAAAGCTCGTTGACTACATCATCTCAGGCCCTGTTGTCTGCATCGTATGATTTCATTTTCTATATCTCCAATTTGCTTTCTTAATGCAAGTGTGACCTAAATGAAGGTCGACTCTCTGTCGTTGGCTTTAATGGATTGGTTTTAACTGTTGTGGAGTCAACAGTTCATAATCTTCCTCAAAGACTAAATGTGTGTGTGGACTTGGCTCATCACGTGTGTGCTGTCCACCGAATGGGTTTGCAGGCTTTGGAAGGGCCTGGAGTGGTGGCGTCGGCACGGAAATTGATCGGCGCAACCAATCCTTTGAACGCTGAGCCAGGCACCATCCGTGGTGACTTAGGTATCGAAGTAGGAAGGAATGTTGTCCACGGAAGTGACAGCCCTGAGAATGGTCTCCGGGAGCTTGGTGAGTTTATTCTTCAATGCCTCTTCAGCAATCACCACACTAAGCAAAATTTATCAGAGTTGGCTAAAATACTTCCGAAAATTCGCACTAATCGAAACTTACATACTATTCAAAAAGATCTTTAAGATGTGATGATTGTCTAAATATTGAAATGCAAAGATTGACAATCCACCCAATCTATGACCTACATTGTGTGTGCTTTTACGTTCATGATGGTTTGCAGCGTATTTGTCTATTTTTGTGTACATGACTCTATCCTCTTGCACTTGCCTGTCTTCGTTGACCTGATAGTTGATGTGATTTTGGGAATTGCAGGGCTTTGGTTCGACCAAGATGAGCTCATCGAGTGGGAACAACACATGACTCCGTGGCTGAAGGAGTGAAATTCTCTTTCAAGCTTTAGCACAGTTGCAGTCTTGCAGAAGGAGATGGTCTTAGAGGATCCATCTCATTCGCTACCGTGAAAGGCATAGAATCGATTTACTTTCAGGCAAGTAAAATTCCAATCGGCATCTTTGAATGATGAGAAAAAGAAAAAGAAACTATTTGAGGCTTGTATGAGTATTGTTCGTGCACTGCATTCAAAGAGCTTCACTTATCAAAATTAAATGATTCCATCACTTAGTGCTCTATCCCTAGGGAACACGAACACGAAATGGCAAGGATGTATCTAGCGTCTGCTTTTTATTCAGTAGCATGTGTGATATCTGCTGTTAAAGACTTATCAAATTTCAGTGGAATCAGCGGCACACGGAATCCCTCTCATCTGATTCTCATTGTTGACGAACAACTCAAAAACTACGTGCTGCAAGATCTTCAGTTAGGGAGTCGGATGTGAAATCTCATTTCAACGAAATCGGGGTTTTGACAGCAGATTCTGACACCAAAGCAGTGAGTGCTATCTATGCATGGAAGTAGGGCAATATGGCTTTGATTCACCCTTAAGTCTAAAACCAGATTGATACCAGCATTGGGTTACAATTTTAGTTACATCTATCCAACTGGGCAGATCGAGAACGCACAAAATAACAAATTGCTGCGTTGATCTCGTACTGAAAGCGAGCAATTCCTCATGATAGATTTTATACTTGTGCAGTGCGCACCACAATTGAAGGCATGCCACGAGAAAATATCACACGAAATGTCGTTATCGTAGACCTGTTCGTAGAATGCAATGTAAGCATTGCCAAGCAAGACAGATGCATGAAACAAGTGTGTTATCGTGTGTGGAGGATGCAAGACAGTACAACGATCATGAGCTAACGACTATGTTCTATGGTTCACATGAGGCTAAATCGATGGTTTCCCATACTGAGTTTCTTCGTCGCTCCAGAAGGCGAGGCGTGAATGTGATGAAGGCCGCTGCGAAAGCAGCAGCTCTGGAAACCAAGCTCTCGTCAAGTTTGTTCTCAGAAAGCAACTTCCCTCATCATGAGTCAGTATGCGCATGGTCTACACACAGCAGCCGAGAAATCACGCGACTTCTGTGCCGATTAAGAACGTCGACCAACTGAATCACAACGTGAAAACGCTTGACTTTCGGTGACCGATGTATGTACTTGTCAGATCATTCGTTCTGAATGTATGGAAAAAATAAAATAACGTTGCAATTAGGCTTGGAATCGCTTGGCAAGTCTGTGATTGTCACAAATAAAAAAATTAATTAATTGATAATTAAACTTCTGCACTCTTCATTTTCGTGCTAGGATTCCATTCAAAACTATCAGGTACAACGTTGTGACCGAAATTGAGAGTTACTCCAGAAGCTAAAACTGCGCCGTCCGCTGTGACGTGGGCTATGGCACTCCGAAATCACAAACTGATTCTCACTCGAATGTGGAATCGTCAGAATGAGATCAGAACACGGCTGATTCAATTTTATTCAAGCGAACGCATCTACCCCACAAGGATTACTTTGCTTCCACGGAGTATCCCTCGAAAGCTTACAAAATCCCTAACTACACACGCGCAAAGAAATAATAGCTGACACATGTGTACGACGGCTAGGGTTACATTCTTCCCGTTCTTTGCATCTCGAACTCAATTTCGGTAACTTATTACGATGTGCTGAACAGTAAAATCACATTTGAAGCAAGCAAACAAAGGCACGGAAGCAACGCAGTAATACCCATATGATACGCAAGAAATAGTGCGGTTCTCGGTCTCAAGCACACTGACATTCGAAGAGGTCCTGATATACAAATGTAGAGAATATCAAAAAATAAAAAAATTTATTTGAAAAAAATAACGTGAAATTACGCCGCAATGCTCTGCAGATGCATGATGTGGAAGTATGTACGTTTCATCATGAGTAGGAGGTTTGATTTGAATCCATGCGCGTAAATTCCGCCGTCGACGTCAAGTGGGGGCGCCGCTCGATTTAAACCCTGCAACCTGAATCTCACGTCCTATGTTGTCCTGAGGGTATTCTAGCTCAACCTTGTATCTACAGCTCACAAATCACCTCTCATTCCCCACAGTTTTCACCTCATTTTGTGACTCAGCGCGCTGCGCAGTAAGATTTCTCCATCAAGTTACATGCTGTGGTGGGGACCTCATTCTTGCGGCGGTAGTTTGCCATTTTGGTTCCAGTTGAAGCACCTCGCATGAAGTTTGCTCTTTCGGCCCTGAAAACTTTCGGCTGGAGGATTTAACGGAGAATTCTCAACGAACTCCGCCACCTGATAACCAGAACATATTCTTGACATTGACGGATACAAAACATGAATAATTGAATCATGAATATCAGGTAATGTGTTTGCAGATGAGTTTAACTCATTTTAACAATTTCAAGAGACCACGATGAAGCAGGGACGAATGCAACCTCCAGCCAATTCCTCGTTTCTTATTACGATAATTCCTTAGTTGCGTCAAAAAAACAAACGGACATTGGTAATGTTTACCGCCCTTCGGCTGCTGTGGGTTTGAGTACAAACTATTGTGAAGTAGGAAGATCCATAACCTGAACCTAATGACGAGTTACCGAGATGATTCTAGTTAATGCGAGCCTAACATCACCCTGCCAGGCTAAAACCAAATCGTCTGCAGGAAAATGGGTTGTCATTACAAGTCGACCAAGGGACGTCGCCGATCAGTGACCAGATTTTCGGGAGATGACTCGTGACCCGCTAAAATAACCTGACGAGATGACAACTTACCTTCGAATCGTCCGCACATTTCCTACGACTATATAGTTTGATGATACCCCTCTTTCCTTGACCTCATCACTCCATCGTATCAGTGCAGCAGATGCCCCCGCATGTGTTCATGCGATTCACAGGGACTATAGGCTCCTCAAGCTGAACTCATCACAGTGGATTCTTTTATGTTCTCATGACTTGATGCGAGAGTCCCTTGGCGTCCGGATTGTATCAGTTGTGCACATCACAGGGACATACTTGTAGTTGAATCGAAGGTTGCAACATTACGAATAGAATCTCTTTGTCAGGTCTGGAGCAATCAGAATTGAGTAATAGATGGCTCGGTGAACGTTTGGTAAGAAATCGTCTCCTACGGCAAAATTGTTGCACTCGGTGGTTGAGCACCACGCTTGTCACGAATCTCGTGAAAGTTGGTCGCTGGTTTGGATCCTAATCGATGGTTACTGCGACAAACAAAGCAGCCATGGGAACTTATCTACCTGTCAAGCTCTACCACTCTCTCGTGGCTTTTCTCCTCCTTACGTCTTCGTGGAACTTCTGCCATGCAGCTCGACAGCTCCAGGATTCCGTGTTTGCGAGCACGAAGCTTGTGGGGTCCAGTTTTGTACAAACAAGCGGCCAGAGATTTGTGTTGAACGGGAAGTCATTGTTCGTGAACGGTGTCAATCTCTACTATTTGATGACTCGAGCATCAATGCCCGATTCTAAACATCTTGTGAACGACATTCTCCAAGAATCAGCCAGTGTCGGTGTCACAGTTGTTCGTACATGGGCATTTGCAGACGGCGACAGCGATCAGCACTACCTCCAAGTGCGACCAGGTGTTTACAACGAAGCCGTGTTTCAGGTAGTGCGAACCATCTTTGCAACTCATTCATGTCACGTTCAAAATTACTCCCCCCCTCTTGATTGAATCGTCCACAATTTGAACTGTCTCTTATATGACCGTTGTTACATTCATAGGGACTCGATTATACGGTGTCAGTGGCCAAAAAGCTTGGAATCCGGTTGATTCTGAGCCTTGTGAACAATTACGCCGACTACGGTGGACGACCTCAGTACGCATCATGGGCACAACGATATGCTGGAAAATGGAATGCTAAAGCTGACGATTTCTACACAGACGCAACTATGCGTGGATGGTACCAGAACCATGTGAAGGTATGCATTCCTCGCTCATCTGATTTCCTCAGGGTATCGGAGTTCGACCTGCAGAATCGTTTGCAAATGATCAGACGTTTTTTAACGTGATGAGGCTTGTTTCCCTTTTCTGCGGATGCAGACAGTGCTAACGAGGGTCAACACAATCACGGGAGTAGCTTACCGAGACGAACCTGCAATTTTCGCTTGGGAGCTAATGAACGAGCCCCGCTGCGAGTCGAATCCTAGTGGGTATTCTTTGCAGGTGGGTAAATGTAATAGTTTTCAAAGTATTCCCCTGAGGTCATCATCGGCAGGGTCCATGGTCTCTCATTTCCTAGTTTCATACTGCACAAGAGATCAGTGGGGTGCGGATTCTGAATTTCTGTGCATAGCTTGCAGCAATGGATACGGGAAATGGCTGCTTACGTGAAGTCTCTGGACAAAAAGCATCTGCTAGAGGTTGGACTGGAGGGCTTCTACAGCTCCGTTGTGTCTCCGAACTCTGTCTCCTCACAGAGCGCCAACCCAGCTACTTATGCCGCTCGATTTGGAACCGACTTCATCCTCAATAGCCAGCCCGACAATGTTGATTTCACGACTGTGCACTCCTATCCTGATAACTGGTAAGCACGCTGAGCTCCTCTGTATCGAATGGAAGTTTTCGTTCAAAGCGGTCTGAAGGTTTAGCGTCAATGAATCGCTTGCCATGACCTGAGGTCATCTTACTCACAGGTTGTGCAATTTACATAAATGTTTAGGATCCCCAACCACTCAGAAGATCAGAAGAGAGCTTTCATGGCCTCGTGGGTAAGGACCCACATCAATGACGCCAAATACAGGTTAGGGATGCCGGTTTTGTTCGCCGAATTTGGTAAGTCGGACCGCACGCCAGGCTACAGCGAGAGTGTGCGAATCACCGCGATGACTGACATGTTCAACGCCGTCTATGCATCTGCAAGAGACGGAGGCCCTGCCGCAGGCGCACTGGTCTGGCAATTTGTACCCAAGGCCCTCAAATCGTCGCTTCAAGATGGCTACGCAATGGTTCTGAATGAGAGCCCAGCCGTGGCGTCTCTCATGCGCATGCAAGCTTCCCGGTTGTCAAATCTGTGGTGAGCAATGTTCCAATCCGTGGCCGCAGTCCCAGATATCTTGCTTCTAGGATGGAAGTACACTGCTGTCGAAAACATTCCGCTCGCAGACAGCCGTGGAATAGCAGAAGATTACACTTTACTCAGCTCATCTCTCAAGATTGGATCTCTGCATTGTTTTTACTAAGTTTTGTTAGATTTTGACTCTTGTTTTCGCCACAAGTAATCGGTTATGGCTCAGACTAAGTTGCGCCATCTCTACGTTACACCAAGAGTATGCAGATAGGGAATTCATACGTTTCGTAGTTTCATGATACCCAGATGGATGAAAGGTTGAACAGTGAGCTCCGAACCGCTCTCTGCCCATCTCCTTCTTGAGGTTTCGCCTGAGTGAAGCTGCCTGTAATTAGTGATACTATGATTTATGTCAGCTTCTCTACGGAACTCGTAGAATCGCAGGAGAGTTGAATGTAATTGACATTTTGAGGGAAGAGTGTGAAAGAGTTGTACGTGACTAGAACTGGATGGGTTAGGTCTTCGTTCACCTGGAGAATTTTTTTGAAGAGTAATGTTTGTCGCAATATATTCGTATGCGTTGTACTAAATCTTCAATGAATTTGAACAAGTTTGTTTGAGGATTCACACATCTGTGAGTTATGTGCACTTTTTTGGGGTGAGAGCAAATGTCTGAATCTAAGCGATGAATGCACAAAACAAGCCTGTCCATACATGGAGATCTTGTTGAATCACTGATGTTGTGTTCGGGTTCTTAGAAAGTTCTTAATTGACGAGGTTATCGTGCTAAATAACACGAATTTTCTCCAGCAAACAGCTCTGTAATTGCCTCATTCAGGACCTGTGAGTTTTCCACATCAATTGAAGGCAAGAATTTGCCGTCAAACTTAAGTTACGAATACTTTATTGCGTACGACATGCATCCTTATACTCCGGGGTAAGATTGTCCAGAATCAAAAGTAAACATTTGGTTCAAGTCCACAATAAGAATTAGAAATAAATCAAGGTGGAACATCTGATCTCTTTATTCATGTCAAGAAGACGAACTGATGTGCTGCATCGGCAGTATGAACTATTTCTGGGTCTGATGGACATTCTCGGAGCATATATCGAAGAAGGCTTTGATAATCTCAGAAAAGGCCCTGTTTGCAGGAATTCCACTAAACAAAGCATCTGAGTAAAGCCTACCGTCATATCCAATCAATATTTTCAACTCCCATGACATCGTTCCCTTGTTGTATAAGAGAAACTCTTGTTCGGAGCAGCAGTTCAATTGTGCATAGCTAACTCACCAAGCAAAGCCATTCTTCTTCTCAAAGCCAATGTTGTTGGAAACGCTGGTCAGAAAAGTTGAGATACTGCGTAAACAATTGTGATGCAGGTCGTAATCTCGTACGATTCCCTTCTGGATGTCAACACTCTCTTGAAAGTAAAGACAGAGTGTTCATGAGGTGAGAACACGGTACGCTGGAAAGAAACCAGAAGGAATCATGCCAATGACGTTGGTGACGGTGATCATGGACGCCAGCGACGACTAGCTGCTTTTGAAGGAGCACAGACTGCTGATGTCACAACACAGCAACCGTGCATTTCACATTTTCCGTCTACAGCACTTACGCAACCCATGTAGCGATTCCGGAACCATCTCAAAGCGGTATGAACCAAACTCCTCTGCTGCGCCTTGAAGTGCTCCCTGCTAGCTTCTACAGGTTGTTGCAGTTTTGGTGGTGGTGGTTGTGGGGGCGGTGGTGTTTCTACTCTTATGGGAGACCTTGAGGGGTTGAGGTGGTCGCTTTTCTTGCTGGACGCAGGAACGTGCGTGTAGTTTTCTGGAATGTCGGACAGATTGATGTTGCGTCTGGACTTCCTCTCCAAGCTTCGTTTCGCTTGAAGTCCGGCCTTAGCTGTCTCCAGAATTTTATCAACCTCATCAAACGTCTCATCGTCCCCGTCGTGGACTTTAGTAGACATCTTGAAACTGAAGATAAGTCAGTATCCACCTCACTAACAGTGAAAGGTAGTGAAAAAACGCTGATGATCTGCAAATATCGGCTACCAAAGGAAATTAACAATCACACAGCAAAATAGAGTTGCCGATTTGCGTAAACTCAAATTCAATCTCAGTGAACGGGCAGGCGGCTCCTCACATCACTATGTTCAACTATCACCCAGCCTCATGTTTTAAGCCCCAACACAGCCATCTCAGAGATGACCGTTCCTTTCAGACCTTGGGTCATACGACTTTAAGAAAGCTAGGCTTTTACTCTCAGAAGGTACTGGTTCTAGCACCCGATCGGAGCTGTAAGGAGGAACACATGTTCAGAATCCGGATGCATCCTGAACAAGTGCGAATGAAGCACTTCAATATCAGTGGAACTAATTCGCTATTGGGCTGTATGTTCCAAAACTAGGGCATGATCTCTCTCATCCCAACAGGAAGATGCCTGAGAACAGCCTACCATTGAACCGCCAACATCAACTTCCCTCCTGGCTAGGAGAGCTGGAGAACTAGACAGCAACGAGGGATCTGCTCCCAGCATATGAAACCAAGAAATTGCAACCCTCTCCAAACGTACAGAGGCATAAGAGTCGAATTCATGTGACTCCCAGAGAATAGCACTGCAGGTGAGAGAGCTGCCCAAGTACTCTGACAATACTTAAAAACTAAGACCCCACCTGGAATTTGCATCATCCAACTCCAGACTTCTTTATTAACTTCCTCTTTGTGAACACGCTGAATTATTCTCCATTGAAGGTAAACTCCACAGTTTCATTGGTAAATTGGTTTAGTAGCATTCCAATGCATGTCCACACACGTCGCATGAGTTTGTGCAGCTTCCAGTGCGTAACTCTGTAACTCACGAAATCATTTGCGAGGGCTTTCAAGGCATAAGAAGATCTATGGTAAGTCAAATATATTATTTTGAGATTAGTCAAATGCCAGTCTGCAGCTGCAAGTTGTGCGTACTTGTAGCTGCATTCAAGGCCTGAAAATTCCACACATGAGCTGTAGCATGTTGCCAGACCTCTCCAGAACTTGTTAATGCTCTGTCGTGGTCTGAAGGCTCCTTTGCCGGAGCTCTACTGTACAGTAAATGCCCATTCGTCTCACAATGCCTACTCACAGAAATTCTTCAGTGAAGTTTCATCAGCGTGCTGCGGAAGCATGTTTAAAGCGATCATGGGTAGAGTTACCGACACAGAGAAGTTCATATCACTCAAGTGGCTGTGAAAAAATCCGTCAAAAGATATGCCCCTGTGTGTTCATCTGTATAATCCTCACGTCTCGGTATCAATTTCAGCATTTCAACCAAGGATTAAAATGATCAGAAATCTTATTAATTTTTTAAACACACTCTAAAATCACGGCACGGAAATGATGTGTGCGCTTTTCCATTTCAAGAGCTTTAAAATAGAACCTTCTGTGTCATACCAATAGAACACCTAATTACATACGTTGAACACCCTAATTATTGTCCTTATTCAAGCGGTATTTCAACTTTTGCTTTCTTTCAAATAACGAAGCATGTAGTAATTTCTACAATACTAATTTTTATTTTTTGTTAGATCAGTCATAATTTAGATTTCTCTGGAGCGTTAGCAAAGCGGGTGCAAACCAAGGCTACAAAAACTCCTTCCTCCAGAATCAACTTGGAACCGTCCCACGTTAGTATCTTCCAAAATGGCATCTTCTCCTTTCCTGAGGCGACCGGCTTGTTGACTGCCCACATTATCTGCCTCCTTGGATCTGAGCCCACCACCTGGAGGTTCTCCTGGAGAGCTTTCTGCCATCACTTCCGAAACCTCCCTCATGATATCCTTCCACGAAGCCTTGAGTGCATCTCGATAAGCGCTTGCACGTGTCATAGAGATACATTGCAGGCCAGGTTTTTATATGCTCAGCTGCCCTCTGCACCCGCTCTGGCTGCCAAAGCTGCACAACCCAACCAGGGTGACACCAAATCCCCTATACTGGTCATGTCTCCAGAGACCACTGTCCCGGCCCCATAGCTGTATACGCAACAGTACGGGACTGTTCCACACACGGAACACAATTACTCGTCATTTAGAGTGGGTGGTCCTCCTGCTCGCTGGAGGTCTACAACCAAAATAGCAAATTAAAAATTGAAGTCACCAACCAGGTCACTGAAACACGAAACCCTAAAACCACCACACTCAGCACTCTAAAACACTGAAGCGACCATGACAAATAAAAACACGTATACATATCCGCAATTTGTAAGACCAGCAGTTGAGTCCCGCAACCCGCCGAGAATTCTAGCGACAATCCCCCACCAACTGCAACGAGAAACAAGAATTTGATACGGCTTGCCAGGAATGCTGAACTTACAAAGCTGCTCGAAAATCCGCCTGGTTCGCGCACCAGGTGCGGATTGTTGTGGGTTTGTTGCGAGCGTGTTGGTATTGTGTTGTCGTGGTGTCCGTGTCGAGATGTGATCGTTGGGGGTTACTTTGAAGGCGCGATCTCGCAGCTGAAAAAGGCAAGCAGAAGCAGCATCTCGTGGCGCTCTCGAGCACATGGGAAAGGCCTCGTGTGGGAAGATTTCGACAGAAGGCATTGATAATTGCATACATCTCTATATCAAATAATGTGTATGTGCATACACACTCACACACACACACACATATATATATATATATATTTATATACATATATTTATGTATATAAAACCACACGTACACATCCACACTGGTGGAACCGTGTGCCGTTACACAAAATTTTGCAGGACAGTGATCGTGGGAATTTAAGACCCTCTTCATGTCTCTTACATTATTTGTTCATGATTTATTCATCACATGGTCATTTGTATATCTTCATTTTTGTTTTTATAGTTTTTATTTATTTATTTTTCTTTTTTATATCTTATTTTTTTCTAAGGGGTAGATGGGGTCTACCTGAATGATTTGACATAGAAATAAAATAAAATAAAATAATGGATATTGATTGGTTAGACTTGTTGTGGTAAATAGGGGGCATTTGTGACTACAACCTCACTTTGAAAAGTCCTGGTATAAAAGTTTTACAAAGATTTGTCTTTGGTGATGGAAATTTTTGAGATTTTGAGCAAAGTTTCTTAAGCACAAAGCAAACTACACAAAGTTTCTTAATTTCAAACAATCAAAAGGTTTAATAGTTAGAACCTATCACCTTCTATTTCAAATATAAAGACTTTTTTGGCAAATTTTTATTTTTATTTTTTTATTATTTATATAGATATTTTAACTTGTTTTTGGTAATATTATATTTTTTAAGATGTATATTTAAATCATAATTCTAATGCAATATACTTTTAAATAAATAAAATATGTTTTTTAATATATAATAGATATAAAAAAATGAAATATAAATTTAGGCACTTTTAAATAAAAAAATTATAACTTAGAATATTAAAAATTAAATTTTAAACAAACTTTTATTTTCAATGTCATGAATAAACTCAAATGTATTTGTTTTTGATAATAGTTTTCATTTGAAAAATAATTTTGTTACAATTTGATTTTAGAACAAAAAAAATTATTTTATTACAACTTATAAGTATTAAATATTGCATTATTTTATTTTTTAAAATTTTACACAATATTTTTTAAATTATTATATTCTAATATTTG